AGGGGGGGGGGGGGGAGGCTTTTAGAATTGGTATTCTTTTTAAGGTGACAAAATGTTTTTATGACTTTTATGGTTAACCCCTCTGTGGCCAATCTGGTAGCATACGGGTTAACCTTACCCACTGCTAAGTTTAGTGAACAACCTTTGCTATTTTGCTATGCTTTTAACACTGGTATGGTAAAATCTGTAATCCACAGGGAAAGTCCTTGATGGGCTTCAGTACACTTTTGGTTGTGAATATAAATTTGCAGTGGAATGTACACACAAGTATTGAAGTTTTTATATGAAGTGCACTGGGGCGTATTGCTTTTTGTTTTGTATGCTTTGGCAGCTGGTCTGCACTAAAAGATGGTAACTGTTTCCTCTTATAGAGGATGATTTTTGAACGGTGGGGAAATTTTTTTTCCAAAAAGTACATCTTTGCTATCGGACCACTTCTTTCCCCTTTTTTCTTTCTCCTCACTACTGACTCAATGGCAGCTAGAAGAGATGTGTATTTTTTATGTAGTAGCCATACTTCAGAAAAGTGTGGAAAGCACTAGTATTCATTCACATATCTCTGTATTCCGACATGCTGCTTAAATATGGTTTACATTGATATAATTCACTTGATGTTCAAGTACAAATCCACAAAATGTGCCTTTTTTTACTTTTCTAATAAACCAGAAAATCTGTATCTTGTGATTGGTGACTTCTTCTAAATTGCTTTCATTGGGGAAGGAAGGTGGCGGGGGTCAGATACCGGACTCTACTATAAGGTTTCTTTTAAGTGAGGGAGCTTGGGGCCCCATTTACACAAACTATTGTAACCATATAAACCGAAACGCAAACCCTTTTGTAGTAAAGTATCAGAAGCCTAGGATGCCGTCTGTGTCCATTTTGCAGATTATCCCTCACTTCATGTCTGCTAAGACCAGTGACAAGGACAGGCCGTTTGTGGAAATTCCCTAATGGAGTCCCATATAGCAGTGAGGGGGAAAAAAATCCCAATAGAGGAATTAATCAAAACTAGAGCAGACTGAATCTGGAGCAGTTGTTCATGGCAACCAATCAGCTTCTCTTTAGTACAATTAAGGTTTGAAAATGAAAAGCAAAGCTGATTAGTTACTATGGGCAACTGCTCCAGATGCTCTTTGCCCTAGTTTTTGATACATTTCCCTCTAGGACCTCATTCAGAATGGGGGAGGTTCCGCATATCATAATCATATGGATGCTAATGTAGCTAAAGGTATGGGATGTGAGGCCTGGAATTATCTGACAGGCCTGCTTGAGTAATGTCAACCCCTTATCCCTCACCTACAATCTGTTACTGGTCTGACTAGTGTCAAAGTTGAAATCACATGCACATGAATCTTTAGTGTGATAAAGCTATCACACACACATCCATTCCCCTAGGTCTGGTTGCCATGGGGAAATGCCTTTTAAACTAAAGTCCTGAGGTAACTGGGATCTTCTATTTTCAGAGAATGGCCTGCATTTGGAGCATCTGTATTTCTCAGTACAGGATTCCTTTATAAGGGAACTTTTTCCTGAGGGAAACCTGGTGGCTGCTATGGTTAATGTTTTTTAATTGTGTAAATGCTACTTGCCTGGCTGTCTACTTCAGTCCTTTGAGTCACTGTCTGCTGATGACATGTGGCTTTCCTGTTATGCATAATGATTCCTCATCTGTGGTTCACAGTATTGCTACCAACGGGTCCGAATATCAGCCAGGCAACCAGCATCCACAAGAGAAGTCCAGAAATGTTTTACTTTTCAGTGGATTTAACATAAATCCGCCTCGTATGCCTGGAAGATGATGCAGGTTTTGCAGACGTACCAGTTCAGATGGCTCCATTGTAAACCTCGCATTTTAAATCCACGCTCTCTGTGAAAGGTAACCTGCACTAAGGGAATATACACTGAGTGGCCAGATTATGATGACCACCTGATGTTTGTAGGCAAATTAGCTATAATTTCGTGCTGAAGTTGCTAGAGGGCCAGACCATTATAAATAGGGAAGCGGGTTGTTTACCACGACAGTAGAAGTGATTGTTTCTGAAGATATGGGTAAACGACGCGATTTAAAAGCCTTTGAACGTGGGATGATTGTTGGCGCTCGGAGCCATGGAGCAAGTATCAGCAAAACAGCAGAATTTGTTAAATGTTCAAGAGCAGCTGTTAAAGTGTTTAAAGACTGGACTGTCAGCCGAAAATCAGGGTCTGAACCTGTGAATTGTGGCCGTCAGCGACTAGTCAATGTTAGGGCAGAACGCAGAGTGGCAAGACTGGTACAAGACAACAGAAGGGCAACAGTGCAGTGTCAGATTCCTCGCATCACCTTTCAACATCTCGTGGAGTCACGAGGCGGCCCAACGAAGTCATCTTGTGGAGTCGTATCGTGGCCCAACGAAGTACTGATGGGGTGGTCATAATCTGGCCACTCAGTGCTGACCTCTTCCTCTAACATTGCTAGTTGCCTGGCTGTCCTACTGACCTGCCGGCTTCAACCCTTCAACTCCCTGACCTTGAACCTGCTGATCTGTGATCTAATTTGGTGGAAGATTGTTCCAAGTCAGTGATACAAAGCTTTGCAGCAAAAGATAGTGAGGCATCTATAAAATTCAATAATGGCAGCCTGCACAGTAACAGTCCCCCAATGCCTTCGTCTGCTTTTTTCCTCGGAAAGACAGCACCATCCTTGTTCAGAAATCATCCAGGGTCAGCATCTACTCTTGGACAGAGATGTGGGCACAGAAATGACTCAAGCATAGTATAAATCCTGGTCTGGCACAGATCAGCAGCCCCCTGCTGCACTTAGGGAGAGGAGACTAAGGAAAAGCTTCCTCCTGCCTACAGCAAACTGATGACATCTCAAAATGTGCATCAAGTGTTTTTGGAGCATTTTTCAACTGTTTTTGTATGATAATCAAAAAAAATTGAATGTGGTATTCACCATCACCCGAACCAGCCCATAAACGGCCGCCCACCACAGGTCTTAAAATGTATAACTCCAATCTTTATTGTGATCCAAAAATATGTATAGACCACAAACAAGCTCCCCAGCACAAGCCGAACCCTTTAACGCGTAGGAGCTCTACGATTAAGCCTCATTGGTGAATCGCGTTAGAGGGGGTCATGAACTAGTTGTAGACAGCTCAGTTCATTGTTTAAAAACAAACTAGATGCATTCCCAAATGCACAGAATATAACTGGATGCCAACATTAAGGCCCCATTCACACATAGCGATTTATCGCGCATTTGTGCCATGCGATATCGCGAGAAGTCGCCGGATAATGATATTCAATGGAGCATAGTGGGGGGGATCAGCTGTGGGTATAAGGTACTGTTTTTGGATGGTCCTTTTTTATTTAGTGGACACTATTTTCTGCTAATTGGTTGAACCTGATGGACTTGTGTCTTTTCTTAACATGCATATTATTATACAGGATTTATATAGCGGCAACAGTTTGCGCAGCGCTTTACAATATAAGGAAGACATTACAATCACAATTCAAGACAAGATGGTAAGGAGGGCCCTGCCCGTGAGGGATTACAATTTAAAGGGAGGGGGAAGTGATACATGAGGAGGTTGTCTTATAAGTCTTCCTTGCTGTCTATATCAGCCTTTCTCATCCAGGGTGCATTGGCACCTTGGGG